TCAAGGTCACAGAGCTGATAATTAGTAAAACCAGGTAGACTTCAAACCTAGAATTGTGAAATGCTAGAATTTATACTTGTAATTACCATATGTCTCTGGCGTACAGAGATATCTCACCTTGTTCCCTGGCACTTTACCTCCCCCAGCTGAGCTCTATAAAGATGGGGACTAGGGGTGGGGGGTAGGGTTCACCAGTCTTCCTGTGAGCATCGAGCACTGAGCACTGAACATGTGGGATAGCTGTCTTTGCTTCCCTCCCACAACCCAGTTCAGCCTCATCATTTTATTTCATCCCAACTTTGGTGTCTGTAGGGCAAATTCTTTAAAACTGCCCCCTGGTGGTGGAAAGCGGCACGGCAGCCTTAGAAGGACAGGGAAGAATTGTAATTAAGACTCCGGAGAGCAGGCGCCTTAGTGCTGTGTGAATCAGCATTGCTCATTACTAGCTGAGAGATCGAGGACAGAAAGCTGAACTCCTCCATGCCTCCATTTCCCTAACTGGGAAACGGATTGAATGGTGCTCTTTACAGTCACTGGGAGCACGCAAAACTGGTTCTTGAAGGTATGGAAGGAGGGGTAAGGCAGGCTGCTATTTCCTGGGGTGCACCTGCCAAGTGTTTATAGGTCAGTTCTCACCTCGGTAGTCTCTGCTATTCCTGCAAGCTCCCGCTGCCCGTATGTAGCTGGTGGAGGTAGAGTTTCCACAGCTCCTGCTGGGGCCCCTGCTAGCTTGCTTCTCGGGCTGGGCTTGGTCGTGCTCCCGAAGTCCAGTTCAGTAGAAGTTGCTGCTGCCTAGTGGCTGGCTGGGGAGGGGACTGGCTGTGGAGCTCTGCCCAGTATTTTTCTTCCTTACTACAGAATTGCAACGTAGTTCTCAGTAACCCTGATTCAACTAGTGGCTGGCTGGGGAGGGGACTGGCTGTGGAGCTCTGCCCAGTATTTGTTTTTCTTCCTTACTACAGAATTGCAACGTAGTTCTCAGTAACCCTGATTCACTATGGGAACACAGTGTCTAGGAAGGGTCTACCCAGGTATAGGCTGCTGGATCCCTGGCGTTGATTCCCGGCTGGGCTCCTGGGGCAGTTGTTCAGGATGTTGGAGGACGTGCACCGTAGACTCGGTTTCGGAAACTTCTTCGAAGAGCTCCGGGCAGGCTCTCATAAGGACTTCTGAAGCTGACCTGACACCTAGTGGCTACAAGTAGGAATGACAGCACCTTTGGGAGTTGCCTAAAGTGTCCATCTTTGGGAGGTGTCCAGGGATGATGCCCACGTGTGGGGCCTCAGCCATCTCTCACTTACTTGTGGTGGGGTGTCAGTAGAAGGGATGACCTGTGGTCTTCTTTTGAGACAGGGTTTCCCTGTAGCCCCAGCTGGCCTAGAACTTGCTATGCAGACCAGGCTGGCCTTGAACTCAAGAGATTCGCCTGCCTCTGCCTCCCATGTGCTGTGATTAAAGGCAAGTGCCACCATGCCTGGCGGAAATGAAAAGTTTTTATTGATAATCATTCCAGATTTTCAGTTTGTCACATTTGGATGCCCCTTCTTGCCCACATAATCCTTAGGATCCTCCTATGGATACTGGGGAAATAGAGAACTTACTTTTGTGGGTTACAAAAAAAAGGCACATAACATGACTCCTGACTTTAAAACCTTACCTTTCTTTGAGGAGACAATACTAGCACCCTGACAGGTCTGGGAGATGTGAGTTTCAGCTCCTAGACTCCCTGTTGCTTTGCTTTTCTCTACCCCCTAATTTTGACTTAGAGCTCCTATTTCACCACCAGCTGATAGAAACTCAACTTCAACTTGGGGTTGAGCAGTCAGTAACGCTGACTTGTCAGGGAAGCCCCTCTGGTCAGCGATCATCTGCCCATCGGATCACTGGGCACACTAGACAGCTCCTGCCCTGACTGGTCCACAGTGGTAACTGGTAAGGGGAATTCACACCCTTCAGCGTGCGGCATGCCCCGCCCACCCACCTGAGCGCCGCACGTGCTCCTGGCTGCTCCTTTTCTTCTTTGTGCCAAGAGTTTGCTGTCTACTTTCGTTTCCTCTTCTTTTTCCCTTTGCCCCTCTGTCCCTCCGTCTTTCTCACCTTCTTAGGCTATGTGCATGTGTGTGGTGTTGTGTTTGTGAGTATAGGTATGTGTGTGCCACAGCGCGTGTGGAGGTCAGAGGAGAGTGCCAGGTGTTAGCTCTGACCTTCCACCTTGTTTACAACAGTTTCTCCTTGTTCCCTGTTGTGGACACTAGGCAAGCTGGACCACCAGCTTCCAGCTTCTGCCTTCAATCTCCCTGTAGGAATGCTGGGATTACAGCACCTATAGTACACATGCAGCTTTATATGGGTTCTGTGGATTCAAACTCAGGTGCTTACACATGTATAGCAAGTGCTTTTACCCACTAAGCCATCTCCCTTTCCCTATTTTTCTGTTTTTTTTTTTTTTTAGATAGAGTCTTGCTATGTAGCTAGATTGGCTTTGAATTTATTATGTAACCCAAACTAACCTCAAGCTCAGGTCAATCAACCTTCCTGTCTCAGCCTCCAGAGTGCTCAAATTGCTGGTGTGAGCTGCCACACTTAGTTTTGCCTGTCTTCTTTATCAAGGCTTTAAAATTTTATTATTAGTGTATGTGTGCACGTGCACACACAGACATACGTGCCACAGCATGCAGGTGCAGGTCAGAGGATAACATTAGGGAGATATTTCTCTCCTTCCATCATGGATTCCAGGGAGGGAACTCAAATTATCAGGCTTGTGTGGCAAACATTTTTACCCACTGAGCCACCTTTCTGGCCCTCTCAAGGAATTCTAAAGTGCCATACAGAATGATGGACCCTGGAATAACTGAGAAGCTTTGTTTCCACTGTTCCAGTTGTCAAGTGGGACCACAGAGGCTCCAAGGCCGTGTGACCATGTGGTGCTGGGCCATGGCCAGATGCCAGGTCTCTTGGATTCTCATCCTGGGCTCCCTCCATATGGCCGCACTGTGTTTGCTTCTGAAGGATTTTCATTTCCTGGGTGTTTGTTCCCCTGCCACTGCCTCCCTTTCAGCAGTCTTTCCTCTTGATGCATTTTACAATGGACACGACCGCTGCTTTTCTGCCTTAACTGTTCCCTGAAGACTCTCCTCCTACTGCCCAGCAGCCTCAGGACATTTCCATTTTGTCTTTGTGGCTCTGCTCTTTAGGAGGCCACCTAGAATGTGCCCCTCAGTGGTCACTAAAGCCAGAAAGTGTCCCCACATCAAAGGAAACAGCATCATCACCATAGGGATACCAGATCCAAGCCAGACTTTATTTGCTCACACTTAGCCCTGGTCATGGTGTTTATCCATCTGACTTTTCACTTAGTCTTCTCACAGCCACAACTCTCCAGAACTTCTCTGGTTAGAACTTCCTTCCAGACCAGATTTGCTGTTGTAACTTCTGCACTTTTAAGAAACTGATTTGAAAGGTAAGGGAATAAGGACGAGCTCTGGGCAGGAGAGACAGTTCAGTTGGTAAAGCATCTGCTGTGCAAGCATGAGGATCTGAGTTCAGATCCTCAATACCCACATAAAAACCAATATGGAGGGCTGGAGAGATGGCCCAGTGGTTAAGAGCACTGGCTGCTCTTGTAGAAGATCCGGGTTGGATTCCAAGCACCCACAGGGTGGCTAATAGCCGTCCAGTTTAGTAACTCCAGTTCCAGGTGATCCTATGTGCTCTTCTGACTTTCGAGGGAATTGCACGACACGAGTGCACTTACACACATGCAGGCAATACACTCATTTATAAAATAAAAATATTAAGATATTTTTAAAAAGCCAATACAGTGGTATATGTCTGTAATCCTAGTGCAAGGGTAGAGCAGAAACAAGTGGATCCCCAAAGCTCACTGACCAGCTAGTCTAGACAATCAGTGAGCTCCTGGTTAAAATAAGGTGGAGAGCCTTAGAGGAAGATACCTGATGCCAACATCCGGCCTTACTATGCGCACACACACACACACACAAGCTGGGTGAAGGGGATGGAGAGATGGTCCAGAGTTAAGAACACTGGCTATTCTTGTAGAGGATCCAGGTTTGATTCCCAGCACCCACATGGTGGCTAACAGCTGTCTGTAACTCCAGTTCCAGGGGATCCAACACCTTCTTCTGACCTCTGCAGGCACTGCATGACATGGGTGTACTTACATACATGCAGGCAATACATTCATACACATCAAATTTAAAAATAATATAAAATATTTAAAAAAAGCTGGGCTTGATTGTGCATGCTTGTTATTGCTTGTTATTCTAGCACTGGGGAGGCAGAGAAGGAATCCAACCTTGCCTACTCAGTGAGTTATAGGCCAGTGAGAGAGGTACCTGATTCTGGCTCCTTAGGAATAAAACACCCAAGGCTGACCTCTAGCCTAAATGCGCGCGCGCGCGCGCGCGCGCGCGCACGCACACACACACACACACACACACACACACACACACACACACACAGAGAATATGCATCAGTGGGTGAGAATATTAAAACAGGTTCAAATTTGGGGGCTGTACCTCAGGGAGACAATCAAATGTAGCGGTCAGAGCATGGGTTCTATAACTACCTAGACCTGAGATCAAGGGAAAAAGTTGCCCCTTTTTAGCCTTGAGGACTTGGCTTCCCAGCCTGATGTCCTAACCTCAGTCTTGTTGCACACAGAGTGGGGCAATGGTAGTTCTGCTGTTGACACTGAGGGAGTTTGCTATGATGTCTGTCCAGTGAATGGCCAGTGCTGGGTGACCAGATGACTGTGTACCTCATGCTTCAGCAGGAAGCACTGGCTGTCCCTCTACTCTCTTGTTCATGTCTACCCATCTTGCCAGATCCAGCTGAAGCGTCAGCACCCCGGCCCCTGCACACACCCCTAGCCCTTACTGCTCTTACCTTGGCAGGCCTGAGCATTTGACCCTTTGCTGTGTGGGCTGTGAGGACTGGAGCTCCGCAGGCCAGGGTCCCAGTGTCTTGCTCAAGCCTTGCTATGCAAGTGAACTGAGGATGAGAAGAGAAATGAACCATGGGGCCTGGCTTTGGGATATGGGATGAGGCCACCAGTAGCTGTACGTAGTGTTCTCTCAATCACAGTACCCCAGGGCTGATGCTCACCCTGCTAGGACCCCTTGGGGAGCAAGGGGAAGGGCCGAGTGTTGTGCTTACCTGAAGCTCACCATACCTTCCTTGTCTTCCAGCTTCTTTACAAGCTCCCTGACCTGGTACCGGTTGATGGGGACCTTGTTTTGCTGAGGATATGGATGCAACATGTTATGGAGCCCCCCCTCCACCCCCTGCCCCCTGTTTCCAAGTACACCCCCACAATGCCTCACTGCTCTTGGGACCATGGATGGCAGTTGAGGGCTTAGAAGATGCACAGCACGGAAAGGCTGAAGGAAGCTGCTGCCCACGACAGCATATACTCTTCAGAGGGTCCACCCCCGCCCCAGCCCCACTTTTTGGGAGTGACAAAGGCTCAGGTTCCAGGTGAAGTGAGCAGCCCCCTAGGGTGGACAGAAAATGTTCTCTTCAGCATGTGAAAGCCGTTCTTGCTCCCAAGGTACTCAGTCCTGGCTAGCTCTCTACCATGGGGCTGGGTACCAAGCATCCATCCCTACCTGGGTCCCCAGACCCCTCTCTTGGACCCGGAGTCCTCTTAGGATGCTGTCACAATTGATCCTTTCATTAATATAATTCAGGGGGCCTCTAGCACCTCTCATATTCATTTTATTGGTGAGTGGGAATGTGGGGTTTCAGAGGAGATGGTGAGGCCAAAGGTGGAATATTGGGGCTCTGGGAAATGGTCATTTCCCCACTCTTATCTTCATCTTCCTAGTAGCCAAGAAAGGTCTGCAAGATGAAGAAGACATCTGGGGTGATGAATGGCATTGGGCCAGATGAAACAGAGAATGACTTGAACAGGGTTAAGGGAGGTCTTGGGTTTTCCTTTAAATGAATGGGGTGAGTGTTCACAATCAATTCTAGAAAACAGTATGAAAAAAATGCATGCACATGCTTTTCTCTGTCTCTGTCTCTGTTTTTGTTTCTGTTTCTGTCTCTGTCTCTGCCTCTCTCCCTCCCTTCCTCCCTCTGTCCCTTGGTCCCTCCCTCCCTCCCTCCTGCTTTCCGGAAATCTCCTATCGTCATTGTCATTGATTCTGCAGGGTTCAAGCTCTTGAAGAATTTCACAATTGAGATTTTTTGCTCTTCTGTGTAGTTCTGAGAGAAGCAGGAGACACCAGGAGCAAACACTTGACTTTATCACAACTATCATAACTCCCCTCTCATCCTCCAAAGGGCAGCCCAAGTTCTGGGACCCAGAAAGGCCTGGGGAATGAGAGGCAGCTCAACAGCTTGAGGCTCCTGGCTTTAGTGGCCACTTCAGAGCAAGTGCCAAGGGGGGGCAGAGGCAGATACTGAGGAAGTGATGGTTCTTATATTTACCCAGTTTCCAGCAGCCTCACCCCCCTCCCCCGACCCCATCCATGCCTTGACCTAACAGGGAAGCCAAAGCTGCTAGGATACACAGCATCAAGGGAGCATGGACAATGACCAGACCTGTTGCTTGGCTTTGAAATCGCCTGTTAATAGTGCAGCTGGTGCTTTGTGCATAGTGGGCACACTTTTGTCAGCTCTGCAGCATGATTGGTTGAACAGATTTGAGGCATTGCTAGGATTTGCAGTTTTCCACAATTGTACATAAGGAAAAGTGCTTTGTTAGAAAACTTAAGATATTTCATTGCTTTCCTTTCAAAAATATTCTATTGAGGACAATTTGAGTTTAGCAGAAAGAATAAAAAGTAGCCCATAAATCTATTCTACCATCTTTGTCTCATCTATCGTATGTATGTATGTATGTATGTATGTATGTATGTATGTATCTTCTATTTATCTATCTACCTATTTGAAGACCTATATATCAATCTACCATTTATTTCTCACCTTCATTTTTCTGTCTATAATCTATCCACTTCTCTCCAACTATCTATGTATCTCTCATTTATCTATCAAACTACATTTCTTTATAGCTATCATCTTTCTGTCGATCTATTATCTATCATCTATCTATCTATCTATCTATCTATCTATCTATCTATCTATCTATCTATCATCTGTCTATCATCTATCTTCTATCTGTCTCTATTTCCTATTTATCATCTAGTCCATCTGTTATCTATTTCTCACTTATCTGTCTGCCTGTCTATCTGTCTGTCTCCCCACCAGCATCTCAGCCCAGCCTATCCAAAGAATTCCATCTACCCCAATCCCCCACATTGTCAGGGACTACTGTGGTAGACAGCCTGGGTTAGCCCTCAGCAGAACACCAGTAGCTCCATCACACATGCTCTTCTTAGATTCACAGGCTGGAAAGCTGGACCTCAGCCTTCCCCAGCACCCTTGTAGCTCAGCATCACAGTAGGATGGGCCTCACCAAGCACCTGTATGAACTGTATGTGGGAGATTTATGTGAGAGGTCTGGTTTGGAGAGAGGCAGGCTATGGGCATCTGTGGGGGGTGCAGGGTCGGGGGTATGTTGAGTCCTGGCTCAGTGGGGGATTTCTTTTTACCTGACTTCCTGATCTGGGCAGAGTGGCAGCCAGTTTGGAGATCCAGTAGGCATATTTTGGGAACCACTGTGGATCTATTTCTTTAGCCTTCTTAATACCTCTGTGTCTGTCTCCTGAAAAACCCTGTTGTGCGTAACCTGGCTAGAGTAGATGCTGTGGTGAGCAGCTATAAGCCTACACCATGATCAGGGCCTGTTGCCTTGGTAGGTAGGATGGGTAAGTCCTGACATAGGCCGTGCTCTAGAAGAGTTCACAGGGCTTCCATGAAGGGTAAAGCTGGGGGCTACTGGAACATATGGCAAGGGCATTTGGTCTTGCCTGGGAGCCTTAGAAGAGTTCCCTAAGGAAGGGACACTTAAGAAGAGACCTGATGGATTAGCAGAAATGAGTGAGACACTGGGAGCAAGGAGAGCATGTGTCAAGAGAAGGAACTGCGTACAGCTAGAAAGGCTGCTGGGGAGTGGGGCCAACCCAGCAGGGCCAGGTGTGGACATGGGAGAGGCAGGTGATGGGCACTGTCCCATCTGGTTTTGGAAACTGAGGCACAGAGCTGACCAATTGGGCAGGAAGTGGTCTGAGGGAGGCACATCCACAGAATCTGCATTTGCACAGTGCCCCAACATGGCAACTAGCAGAGGTGCATCCACCACTGAGAAACACTAGACACAGTGTTGTCACCTTGAAGATGCCTCTATGAGGCATCAGACCCACAGGAGCCCCGACACCCCTTTCAGATCCAGTGTTTTGATTTTTAAATTTTCACTATTAGACATCTACTATTTTTTTATTCTTAAGAGACACACTAAGAGAAGGCTTGAGCCAGGAGCATGTTATCTCCAGAACTAAAGGACTTCAGTGTCCTAACCACAGGATGACTTAACACCCTCACCAGACTCAGGAAGAGGCTGGGTGCTTATGTGCCAGGTGTTTCTCTGAGAAATTCATACATATTAAGTAATTCAGTTTTCACAGCTACCCTACTGGGGGAGGGGGTGGTTCTAATGTGTGCCCATTTTACAGGTGAAAAGACTGAGACATGAAGGTCACAGTGACTTGCCTTTGGTGGCATGTTAATAAAAGGAGGGACCTGAGTGTTTGAATCCATCCTATGCCAACCCCTTCACACTTCCACTAGATCTCAGTTTCTTTGGGCAGCGAGAAGCACTGTCCAGGGATCCACTTTCCATGGGGAATAACCCATGTTTCCATTGCAAGGGGCCAAAGCATTCCTCATGAAGAAGGATCACGCAGACACTTGGTGGGGACCAGTGCTGGATTGGAAATTTGAGGCGATGTGGCATCTTCCTTCAGTGCTCCCTGAGGCTCTGAGGGGAAGGCAGGGGCTTACCTGGATCAGTTTCATGGGGTTGGGCCACGGGATGAGGGTTTTATTGGTGGAGAGACCCTGCAATCCTTTGTACAACACGTCTAGCTGGGGATGAACGGCACACACTCCATCCAGGACTTTTACAAACTGCTCTGTTACCATCACATTCTGTAGCAGGGAGATAGGGACCCGTGTGAGCTGGCTGTTGTCATTATGCCAGCTCCCTGCTGACCACAGCACCTTCTCCTCTAGTCTACCCAAGCCAAGCTCAGAAGCTTTGGTCTTTTCTGGTTTGTTCTGCTTCTGAACTGGGATGGTTCTGGTGTTTTTGAGTTTGACTTCATTTGTAAGTTTCCCATGTTACTTCCTTCCCTTTTCAATAAAATATTTTATTATTTTTATTTTATGTGTATGAGTGTATTGCTTGCATGTATCTAAGTGCACCCGTGTCATGCAATGCCCATGAAGGTCAGAAGAGGGCATCGGATCCCTGGAACTGGAGTTTTGGATGGTTGTTAGCTGCTAGGTGGGTACTGGGATTTGAACCTGGGTCCTCTGCAAGAGCAGTCAATGCTCTTAATCACTGAGCCATCCCTCCAGTCCTTTCCCTTTTTTTGAGACAGGGTCTCACTATGTAGCCCTAGCTGGCCTCCAACTCACAGCCATTCACCTGTCTCTGCCTCCTGAGTGCTGGGATTAAAGGCATCCACCACTATACCTGCCTATGTTACTTTTTGAAACAGAGTCTCACTCTGTAGTTTTGTGAGGCCTTGAACTTACTATGTAGCCCAGGCTGGCCTTGAACTAATGGTGATCCTTCTGCTTCTGCCTCCTGAGTGCTGAGATTACAGGCATATGCCACCATGGCCTGTTTTATGGGGTGCTAAGGATGGAACCCAGGACTTTGTGCATATAAGGCAAACACTCTACCAAAATGAGCTACATCCTCATCTCAGTTCTGGTGTTATAAAGCTTGTGAGTTGATCCGTAAGTTTCCTACTTTTTTTTTGAAGATAGAGTCTAACTCTGAGTTCAAGGCTTGGTCACTATGTAGCATGGGCCGACCATGAAGATCCTCCTGCCTTAATCTCCCAAGTACTAAGATTTCAGACTTGTCATCATGCCCAACTTTCCCAGGTGATTTTGATTAGGCAATTTCATACAATGTGGGTGGCTTGTCACATATCGCCAACTTGTCACATGCTTTCAAGTGAGCTATGGTCTGAGATGGCAAGTTTAAGTGCTTGCATATGATGGACAGGACATAACAACAGAGTTGAGACACTGGCCCTTAAACAGATATCCTGAAATGTCCACCTGCCTGAGTATTGTCTTTAGAACAGGTGCTCGAGATCATTTATTTTAAACATCCTGTTAAGGCTCACAGTGCACTGGGAACTCCTTGTGGAAGAGGTCAGAGCTGGCTTATGGGACAATGCATTCTGTGGAAGAATGATCAAACCTGCCCTCCATCAGCTTGATCACCCATGTCTTTCCTCAGATGTGATTGTGAATGTCTTTTTCCTTTTCAAAGGAATGAACTTATGCTTAAGGATTGAAGGCCGTGTATATATTTGGGCCTAGGAGCATCTACACAGCAGGAATTTCAACACTCTTTAGAGTTATGGCCCCATCATTGATAAGAGGGAAGGCCTCTTAGTCCCCAGGGTGGCTATGTGAGGAGGGGTGGGACCTTTCAGAGGTGGAGCCTAGTCACTGGGGGCACTGCCCACAGGAACTGATGTAGTTCTCATGGGACCCATTCTTTTGAGAAACAGTAATCAGGAAAGAGTAAGACTTGGTCTGGAGAGCACTGGCTGTTCTTGACCCAGGTTTGGTTCCCAGCATCTACATGGTGGTTAACAACTGTCTGTAACTCTAGTTCCAGAGGATCAGATGCCCTCTTCTGACATCCTCAGGCATTGCAGGCACACGTGCACTTACATACATGTAGGCAAAACATTCATACACATTAAAAATAAATAAATAAAAATAATTAAGAAGAGAAAAGAGTTCATCTCCCTCTGCTTACCTGGGCCTGCATGACCCGCAAGCCTCTCTCTGGGTAAGTCAATCACCCCTCTGTGCCTTGACTCCCCCAGCCTCATTCACCCTCCCATCTCCCCTACCTGTCTCTCCTCCTAGCCTGGGTCCTGTCCCATTCCTTGTCTTGGTGCCCCAGACACTGGGGGAACCACCACTGCTTCCTGATCCTTTGCATCAGACCAACCCAGTTCCTTCTCGGGTCCCCAGGAGCCCTCTGGGCCTGGTCTGGCCCTCACCTCCCTCTGCATCCCTGGGCTGCACAACCCGCCAGCCTCTTTCCTGGATGCAGGGGCTGACCTTTCTGCTTCCTGATCATTTGCATCCAGACCAACCCAGTTCCTCAGGGCAGTCCCCAGGAGGTCTTGGGGCCTCTTCCTGCCCCCATTTCCCTTGGCATCTCTGGGTGGCACAGCCACTAGCTGCCCTAGACCAGCATCTTTCCTGGGCCCTGCTCCCAGGCCAGTCCAGGCCCCAAATTCCTGAGGCCAAAATCTTTCCTAGAGGGATCCAGACCTTAGGAGAAAGCCTGAGAGCATATGACCCTCATCTGACTTGGGCTTCTGTGGGAACTCCTGAAGACAAAAGCAATCTGGCCACTCAAATATAAAATCAAAAGAGAGAACTGGAAGCTTAGACGAACCAGCTTTTCATGCCCAAAAAGTAAACCACAAAGGCACATTCATAAAAAGAAGCAGACCTAAACTTGAAAGCTTGAGTCTCACACAAGAATCAGAAACTACAAAAGAAATCCACATGTCAAAATTACAGAGGAAAAAATAATAACATGAAAACCCAAAATAACATATACCCACCAAATACCAATAGACCTCTAGAGGAGTACAATGAGAACGAACTAGAGATAATGCAGGACATGGAACTCAAAAGAACAATTACAAACATGATA